ATATTGAACGAACATTGCGGGCTGTCAGGTGTGGAACGTATTAGCTGTTCTTGTTTCCTTCACTTTAAAAATGAGGAAGATACTCAAAGAAGTTAGGCTGGCTTGCCAAGATTTGTACGTAGGTCTTTTGAGTGCAAATGCTGTGCTCTTTTCAATGTACTGAGCACCAGGCTGCCTCTAAATGTTTAGAGCTATCTATGCCATGGCTGTCATGAACTCCACATCTTAGGGGAATTCTCAAATTTTAAAGAGGGCTCAGCTACTACCCCCACCCCCCAAAAAAGTCTGTTTATTCAGTGGACCTGAGGATAAGTGTAGTCCTATCTGGTTTCCATCACTGGATATTTTCCCTAGCTAATTCTTGGTTCACTTGGAAGTGTTAGCATTACCTCACAAAGTCTTCCTTAAGCACTGTAAGAGTTTGTGCTCCAATTACCTGCTCATGTTTTGATGTGTTACTTATCTTGCTTCTGCTTCTCACCTGGGCAAATTTCCCATCACAGCTCTCACTCTGTAAGCAAGAAAGGATAATATGTTTCTGGGTTTAAAGCAGAGAAAAACACTAACATAGTTGGGATAAGCCAGAATACAAATATTTCACATTGAGATGAACACAAGAAGCCAGCTGGGAAAACATTGCTATTTACAGGTTTAGATTAGCCCAGAATTCATTTCAGCCTTTGAGGTAAAAGGTGGTACTTTCAAATCACTGGCATTTAAAGCACACAATCTTAAGACTTTGGAGAGATACAGACCCCTTGGTGAATTTATCAAAATCTATGGATAAAACAAGGTATAATGTAGCAGTTCTCAACCTATGGGTTGTGACCCACAGGAACTGTATTAAAGGCTTGCAGCTTGAGAACCACTGGTATAGTGGTTTGGGGCTGTGGTCCCTGCTACTTGAGAGGCTGAAGCAGAAGGATTAGTAGTTCAAGGCCTCGGCACACTATGACTGTACCTGTGACGAGTCACTGTACTTCAGTCTAAGCAACATATTGCGACCCTGTCTTTAAAAAGAAAAAAAAAAAGGTATGACACTTTCCCTAGAAAAAAGCACAAATACATATTTGGAATACTGTCCTGAGGGGCCATTGTGGAGTGCTTATGAGTCTCACATAAAATATTCTTGACTTAGAGTGTATCACAGAATGTTCCCTAAGTCATGAACATCCTGAGTCCCCATAGGCTACTGGGAGCCCAGATAAAATTGTGTCATGGTCAGCATCTTAATTTCCTTCCTTTCTTTCTTTCTTTTTTTTTGAAACAGTTTCACTGTGTTGCCCTCGGTAGGGTGCAGTGGCATCTTAACTCACAGTAACCTCAAACTCTTGGGTTCAAGCAATTCTTTTTCCTCAGCTTCCAGACTAGCTGACACAACAGTTGCCTGCCACAACTCACAGCTATTTTTAGAGACGAGGTCTTGCTCTTACTCAGGCTGGTTTCTGAACTCCTGAGTTCAAGCAATCCATCTGCTTGGCTTCCCAGAGTGCTAGGATTACAGGTGTGAGCCATAGTGCCAGGCCCTTTTTTTCACATTTTGAGTTTATTTTTATTTTTTGAGACAGAGTCTTACTCTGTTGCCCAGGCTAGATTGCAGTGGTGTCACCATAGCTCACTGCAACCTCAAACTCCTGGGCTTAAGAGATCTTCCTGCCTCAGCCTCCTGAGTAGCTGGGACTACAGATATGAGACACTATACCCAACTAATTTTTCCATTTTTTTTTGGTAGAGATGGGGTCTTTTGCTCTAGAATTCTTGACCTCGGCCTCCCAGAGTGCTAAGAATACAGGTGTGAGCCACTGTGTCCAACTGTTGGGTACTTCTAAACAGAAATCGGATCACACTATACAGTACCTTGATTTTTTCACTAGATAATGGTTTTATAATTATTGTAAGTAGGATTCTTTCCATATTGTATTTTCTAACTGGTTATGGTTTGTACATGGGAAATCTCTTGATTTCTTTATGTTAATTTTATAACTGGTTATTTAACTCATCTCTTACTGCTTCTAAGTTTTCAGTTGATGCTTTTTTTTTTTTTTTTGAGCCTCAAGCTGTCCCCCTAGGTAGAGTGCCATGGCATCACAGCTCACAGCAACCTCCAACTCCTGGGCTCAAGCAAGTCTCTTGCCTCAGCCTTCCAAGTAGCTGGGACCACAGGCCCGCCACAATGCCTGGCTATTTTTTGGTTGCAGCCATCATTGTTGTTTGGCGGGCCCAGGCTGGATTCAAACCCACCACCTTAGGTGTATGTGGCTGGCACCTTAGCCACGTGAGCCACAGGCACCGAGCCAGTTGATGCTTTTTATATCATTTGCAAAGAAATGCCAGTCCTGATTCTTTTTCCAATATTTACTTCTTATTTCTATGTCACATATAATTGCATTGGCTATCATCTCCATTGTTACATGGTGTGAGGATGAGCATTCTTGCCTTATTCCTGACTTCACTGGGAATAATTACAATGTTTTATTATAAAGGAAGTTGGTAGCTTTAGTATAACATATATATTAAAACTATCTATTCTAAATTCTAATTTTTTTTTTTTCAGACAGAGTCTCACTTTGTTGCCCTCAGTAGAGAGCCATGGTGTCATAGCTCACAGCAACCTTAGACTCTTGGGCTCAAGCAATTCTCTTGCCTCAGCCTCCTGAGTAGCTGGGACTACAGATGCCCGCTACAACACCTGGCTATTTGAGATGAGGGTTTGCTCTAGCTCAGGCTGCTTTTGAACTAGTGAGCTTAGGCAACCCACCTGCCTCAGCTTCCCAGAGTGCTAGGATTACATGCGTGAGCCACCGTACCCAGCCCCAAATTCTAATTTTTATTAGTAATGAAGTTGGATTTACAAAATTCCTGTTAGCATCAATTGAGATGCTCATACTGTTTTTCTTCTTTGATCCTATACTGGATACCTAAAATACTTTTCCTTCATTTTGGCATATCATTCATATTGTAGTGCTAGGTTCTATTTGTTAGTATTTTACTTTTACTTTTACATTATATTGGGAGATTAACCTGTAGATTTCCTTTATGTGTACTCTTTACCAGGTTTTATTTTAAAAACAGCCTCTCAGTTCATCCAAAATAGAGGGATTACTAGTGAAAAAGCCTTGAGGGCATCCACCTGAAATGGCCTTATTGCAAGAAAAAAAAAATTTAAAAAGCTTATAATGCTGTGGTTTTTCTACTTTTGTAGAATTTATATTATACATCCTGTACCTCCTTTCTGGCATGAATTCACAAGCTATTGCAGATATTATGAATATTGCTTAAACTTTCTTTCTGTAGCAAACAGAGGCAGATTTTCCGTGAAAGTTTTTGTTCTCCTAAACCTGCCTCTCTCCCTCTCTTTCTCACCACCTTGATAGATGAACCAAACCATTTAAAAATGGGGGAATGACTGGAAAGGGGACTCCAGTCATTCACTTCTGTCTCCAGTCCAATTAGGCTGACCTCCCTGTTACTGTATTTCCTTTCACCACTCATTCTTGTTGCCGCGCTTTCTCAGATTTGCTTCATTTATCCCTCTGCCTACCCTCAAACCCTTCCTCCATAACCTGACTAATCCAACCTCTTTCGCATGCCAGACTCTCTTACCGTACTCATAATTCAGCTGAGCATTTGAGCTATAATTGTTCTCAAATTGTTTCAAGAGTGCTAGTTTTCTTTCCTAGGCTCTGGGGCTGGCTCCTTGAGGGCAGGAACCTTATCTTAAAATTCTGTCGTGCATTTTCCATTGTGTTGAGCCCTGTGAGTAATCAATCACACCCTTGCAAGGCATATTTTGACTGAAGACATCCCTCACAGTTATTCATTTAGTAAATGATATAATGAAAACTCAAGTGCTCGCCAAAGGTAAATCATTACTATTAATTCTCTCATTCATCATACATGTACGGCAGCCTCAGGGGCTAGGCAATTTAGGATTGCTGCTTTGACTTTCTTGCAGAAGCCAGGTAAGCCTCAGATCTCTCCGTTTTGGAGCCAGCCATGAAATTCAGATTCACCTAAAGACTCAACACTGGGGGTCTCAGACTACATTTACTCCCATGTTCCCTAATACAACTGAGAGGGAATAACTAAAACTTTCAAAACTCACTAGATACTACTTGCTCATGAATTCAGCAAGGCTCCTGAGCAAACTATTGAAACTCCAATCTCTGAGCTTGCAGGAGGGGACTAGCTACCTGGATTTACCTATGCCAAGTGGTAGTGTGTGTACAAAAATTGAAGTGATTTCAGCGATTATGTTAAATCTTTTCGCTTAAAGTGTTAAATTTAAGGATTATGTTCGTTTCACGAAGAAAATAACAAGACAAAATAAAAAAAAAAAAAAAAAGGAGAATCTGAGTTTCTCTGAGGGCATTTGGGGCTCTGCGGCCACCACACCTTTGCAGATCCCTGGGTCCCAGCGGTGGAACTCACCGAGCCGTTCCGTCGGCCCCGCCATTTCTGAGTTGCTATATTGCTGCAGAGACCGGCGCAGCCCCGCTTTCGCTCTCTCCCCTTCTCCTCACCCTTTCAAAGCCCGCATCGCCGGGTGAGAATATGGAAACAAGGCTGAGACGCCAGGGAGGCTAAGGGGGGAGCAGTTGTGCATTTTTCACTTTCCTCCTCACCTTCCCCAGCCCTAAAGTTACGTTTCTGAAGTTGAAAGTGTGGGTGCTGTCGGCTGCATTTTCAAGTTGCCCTAAAAGTAGGGGTCCACACTGCCGGGGTTAGGAACTTTGTTGCGCGGCCCTCAACCTGAGCGTCTAGTTCGCCGGAGGAACTCGAAAAGCCAGGCCCAAGGCACTGGTTGTCATGGGAACCGGGGCGCTGGTCTCCCCAGAGACCTCTTCCCTGGGGAGGGGGCGGGGCTGGAGGCCGGAGGAGCCAATGAGGTTGAGCGGAGCTCCGGGTCGGTCCTCCCGGAGCCCGGGAAGGGTTGAGTGACAGAGCCGGGGGGCGGGGCCGGCACGGCCGTCCGAGGTGGAGCCGGAGTGGTGAGGGCAGCTCCCAGCCGCCGCGGTGAGGCCAGGGTGCCGCACCATGATCACGGCCCCCAGAGACCGTCGTGCTCGTGAGCCGCTCTCCCTAGCTCCCCGGTCCGCCTCAGTCCCCTCGGCAGCGCTCGGAGTCTGCCGCGGGAATTGAGCCGTCCGCCGCCGGGGTGTTTTGACGAAGCTCTCGGAGGGGCTCTGAGCACAGGAGGGCGCGAGGGTGCAAGAGCGCGCTGGGGTCAGGCGGTCGGCGGGGTCGCCTCCGGAGGGGCGTTTCCGAGGCGAGGAGGAGGAGGAGGAGATGCTGCTCTTCTTCTTTCCCTCCCCAGGCTCCTGCTCCGGCTCCTTCTGCCCACGCCCGCAGCCGCTTGAGGGAGAAGAGGTGGTGGCTGTCTGCGCCCGCTGCGGCTGCCGGCCGCCCGCCCCGACGCCGCGTCCCCGCAGCCCTCGCCCCGCGCGCCAGTAGCAGGACGCGGTCTCTGGACTCCCGGTAAGGACAGGCGCGGCCCTGGGCTCTGGGCAGCGTGAGCAGAAGTGCAGAGCAGAGCGCGGCGCGCTCGCTGTCTGCCTGCTCTGCCTGTTTTTTCTCCAGCCCCTAGACCCGACTCTTCTGCTGCCCTGGTGGAAGGAACTTTTCTTTGGTTTTGGTGTTGGGCTGTTTTTGTATTTTGGAGTGGGGCTGGAGTGACTGGAGTGGGGAAGAATGAGATGAAATTTCACTGTTAATTAGATAGATCGGTCTCCTCCGCGGAAGAAAGGCGGATTCTTGGGATGAAACCCCAGAAGGGGAGTAAAAGATGGTGGGGTAATTGGGAGTGACATTGCCCATCCTGCTGGTACAGCTCGTCTCTCTGCGTGCTAGGGGAAGGGCTCCCGGAATCTGTTTCTAATTTCTGTAAATGATTGTGGAGATGGTGTGGTTAGAGGCCGCCCAGAAGAATGTGTCTGTGGAAGGGCTTGGAGAAGAGGGGGTGGGGTGGTGGGGAAGAGTAGGGAAGAGGGGCAGAGGAGCCCAGGAGCAGAGGACAGACACTCACTGCTTGAGGCAAGCTCTTTTATTGCTTTTCTTTGCCTTGCTCGAGCTAACACCCCTTACTCCTCCCCCTCCCTCTCATTACCTGATACTGTAAGTGCAGAAAGCTGGAAAGCTAAAGTTAAACCAAAGTCCAGAAAATTCTTACGAAGTTTTATTTCCTTCTGTTGTGAATATAATGAAGAAGGGAGGATGGGGAAAAATGCCACTAAGAGAGATTTACAGCAATACAATTGTCGTTGGCCTTATAGACATACATGATCCACACCACTACATGCTTCCAACTAATAATCTCTTCCACTGCCTTGTGTCATTTTCGTCTAATTGCATCTTTGAAACAACAAACGCGGTGACTTCATAGGGAGCTGCCTGAAGCTGAGTTTACCTCTCAGAAAATGGGGCAATCGGGTTTGTTTTCAAGGCGGGACCTAAACAAAATGTAGGACACCTGATCTGTGGGATGAAGGGCTCTGGTAACTCATTAGGAAGATTTTATTTTCCCTTCCCTCCAGCAAGATTTTAAAATTTATAACTAGAAGAGTTTACTGAAAGGTAGGGGGAAAAGTCTCTGTATTATGAAACAGGCATTGGTATTTTCCCAATTTTTTGATGACTGGATTGGCAGGGTCCCGGTGAAATTTTGCCTCGTGTTCATTGGCTGCTTGTGGTGGTGCTATGAAACAAATTATTTCTTGGTATAATATAGCTAGGAACGTTTTTTTATTAAGTTACTGTGTATATTGATTCAGTGAGTTCATACAGTGGCCCACTGACTACTGTCCAATCCTAAATTATTATACTTTTTTCATAACATTGTGTTCTAACTTTGATGTTAATCTAGAGGCTTTGTGGGAGTATCTGTGGGGAGAGGACAGGATGGAAGCTGGAATTAAAAACAAAAGTATCTGGGTTAAGATACTTTTTTCTTTTGTTAAGAAAAAAGACTAGGCTCGGCGCCTGTGGCTCGAGCGGCTAAGGCGCCAGCCACATACACCTAAGGTGGCGGGTTCGAATCCCCAGCCCGGGCCCACCAAACAACAATGA